GCGCCCCCCCCCGCCAATAATGATCGTAACCGAGGCCTTGTGAGCCCTAGACAAATGCCCGGATTTTTGTCGTCTCCCTCGGCTCCTCCTCCCCATTTGGGCCCTAAATGCTTAATCCTTTTAGTCGAAGTTAGAGGTGACTTTTTATAAATTGGGGCGCGGGGTGGGGGTGGGGGACGGGAGAGGAGAGGAGAAGGAAAAAAGCGAAACAAAGGCGATTCCGAATGCCACCGCTGCCAGTCCAGGCAGAGGAAAATACATGTGCGAGTGCGTGCGCGCGCGTGCGCGTGCATGTATGCCTATGCTCTCCTCCTCCTCCTCCTCCGCTGCCCTACTGGTTAAAGTCAGCCTGGAAGGACGGGAAATTGTCGGTGTTTCGAAGAGAGCCACAGTTTGTTTTTGTTTTTTTTGTCGTTTATTGTTTTGTTTTGTTTTTGAAACGGACGCCTCCGGGAGAAGGTTGGTGGCGTTTACGTCCCCAAAGGGTTCTCCGGCGCTGAAAGGAAGGGTTTCTCTCTTTACGCGCGCTGCACAGTTAGCTATGAGACCCCGGACGTTGATTACAAACTGAAGTAATTAAGGCAGTTTCGTGCTGTCGAGAGAGAGACAGCTCCAGCCCCAACAACAAGAAACTACCTAAATCACCGACCAGTTCTCAGACTCCTAATTAAGCTCNCCCCCCCCCCCCCCCCCGGCCGCTTTCCTTAAGCAAAACGGTCTCGACGGGGCCGGGGGAATGGGGAAGGACGGCACGAAGCACGCCAAGGCCAAAAATAACACAAAATAAAGAATAAAAGCCGGCAATCCGACTCCATCCTCTCCCGTGGCCCTCCTCCTCCTCCTCGCCCTCCCGATCTCCAAACTGCCCTCGTTCTCTCTTTTTAATGTCGCTGCTGCTTTAACGTTTCCGGCAAAAGAGGGAATCGGCTGAACAGGCCAGGCCAGAGTCTTCGTATGGGGAGAATCAGTGGGGTTCAGATACGATTTGAGCCACAAGCGTCCCTTCTCGAGAGCAAAGGACTCTCAAAATGTTGGCGTTCAAAGTCTGCTTCTGCCCTGGAAAAAAAAGAAAGAAAGAAAGAGGGGCGAAAAAAGAAAGGAAAAAAAAGAAAGAAGAAAGAAAAACACCTTTGGCGAGTCAGGCTCTCCTCCTTGT